AGGTTAAGTATTGTAAGCTTCGGTAGTTTTGAGAATGTGCCAGAATGAATTAGTGTTACTTGATTGTTACCAAGACCTAATATCTCAAGGTCCATGTACCTTGTGAGCTCGTGTTGACTTATAGATGTAATCTTATTTAATGTTAAATCCAAGTTAGAGGTGCATGTTGGCAACTTCTGGGGGATACGTTCGAGGCCAAGTTCGTTGCAATGACAGGATGCTGGTGATTTACTCCTGCAGTCAGGTACTGGCTTGGAGTACATCCAGCCTCTGGAAGTGGCTGATTTACATCTAGTGCTGCTGCAGTCTGGCGCAGAGAACATCCAGCCTCTGGCATGGTTCAGAATGATGAGAAGGAAAATCAGCAACTGCTTCAGCATTCTTCCCATGGTGTTCTGATCGACAACAACAACAAACAAGAGATATATTTACTCGATTTGCATTAATGTTTAGCATGATTATTGAAACAAATTCCATTGGATTCTATAGGAGTACTTTGATACTTTCTATTCCTAACTCTTCAGTTTAGAAAGAAACTTCTATTGTAGATTTTAGAATAAAAGTATCTGTAGTAGATGATTCATGCTATTGTGGAGGTCACTTGCATTATTAATGATAAAATGAAATGTTAGAACAAAACCTTGCCAAAAAATACGTTTCACCTATAATTTATACATGACTTAATATGAGAAAACCACGTAAAATTAGATTGCATTCTTTGGGATCATTGCATTTTCATGAGACAAATAAAAAAGGACTCAAAGGACTCAAAGGAAAAATAAAGCAGACATCTGCTCGAGAGCAAATGCTATTTCTGCCCATATCTCCCATTGATCCAAAATTGACTGTTCCATACCATCCTCGTCTACGCAGCTCTCTTCAATATCAAGAGTTTGTAAGAGAAATTCCCATGTAGTCCCCTCCCCCGAACAATGCCAATGGTTTCCAGCTAAAAAGCTTCCGAAATCGTTAAAATCTCAACACTTCTGACAGGCTCCACGCCAAACTGTATCTGTATCACAAATATTACCTTGCCTCACAAGCCACTCTTTGTCTACTTTGAGATTAAAAATTATAGGTCATATGGCCACACAAATCAATGAGATTGCAAAGAGAGAGGGAGGAACATGCGTGTGTTACAAGGAAATCTAGTGGAACATTGAAGAAGCAAGGTGGGGCTGGCCTTGCAGTTGAGGCAGGGAGAAAACTCTGGAGGGAGAAAAGTTTCTTACACTGACTCGCCCAACCGGATCCGGTGTCACAGCGATCTCGCCCCTAGCGATTTCGCCCTCCAGTTTGGGTGAGATCGCTAGCCATTTCGCCCCGCCTCCGTGGATCTCGCCCCCCCCCCCTCCCGCCCCTTAGTCAGTCTACTCTTTTACGCCATACCACAGTTATAGCTGTACACAAATTTGATTAACAATTTAAACGATATTATTACAGGTTCGGTTGAAGCAAGAAAGTAACCTTCTTGGTTGAAATATTCTCTCTTTCCATGCTTAACAGCATAGGCATCTGAACAACGCAGGATTTTAGCTGTTCAATGGTAAAATGATTTTTAAAGTGTTTACATGCAACACAATTCCTTAAATACAACGAAATACTATGATTAGAATTATTTAACAAATTTGTATACTTGGGCATGCCAGTAAATGGAGGTTTTCGAGGAAATAACTGATTTTTTGGTGTGTGTGTGTGGGGGGGGGGTTTATATTCGTGACGATTCGGTTTGTGAATTGTTTAAACCATGAAGAGACGAGGAGAAAAAAGTACTACACTGTGTGGACTGATCGACTGCAATTATCGGGGGGAGTCCCTGTGGCGGAATATAAAGTATTTCAATTCTTTTCACACAATTTTTAGTGGGTCCGATCTGAGCGCTGTGATTGGCGCGCCGGGCACGTTAGTGTCTGTTGTGAACGGGCCGTTGCCTTGGCAACGTGGCGCACGAAACACCCATGGCAAGTAATGTTGCGCGCGAAATACAAAATGTATATCAATTCTTGATCGGCGAAAACAAGGCCCAGTGGCGCAATAAACCTTTGAATTAGCCCATTGGTTTTTTTCGGCAACGAGAGAACCATATTGCCACTTTTCGTCAGCCAATGAGAGCTGTCGAAACTGTGTTTTAAAATAACCACATAGAGTGGGACTATTGGTAACGTGTGAGGTATATATCATGCAAATGAGTTAAAAACTGTGAAGAAATCTGACAAAACTGCGACGATATCAACCAAAAAATGTTGGCATATGCCCCTGTTCTGACAAATCATCATTTCTCTTTTAATCCCCCAACTGGGTTTGGAAACGCGTCATGTTAATTTACAGAGGACTAGCCTCAGACAGATGGCTTGTGGCCTTGTGGTCAGAACAGCATGCAGGGATAGTTCTCCGAATTATAGTAAATTGGAGCAGCTGTGGACTATCATGGCAAATTAAGTATAAATTGCCAATCGTAATGGACCACATAAGCGTTGATAGCATAATGGATGGAGTAGAGAAAAGCCCAGGACAGAGGGAACTGGAGAACCTTTGTTGCTGCCCTACATGCCGGGACTGGCATTAAGCACATTATTGAAAATAATGTTTGATAAAAAATACACTTTTGATTTGTTTCAATGTTCTTTTTGGCATTAGAATCAAACTCACACTGTACCGTCAGTTGGTCATAATCTATTAAAAACGTGGTTGAAATATTAGACCTGGCCAGCGTTTACAGGGCCCAAGCAAACCTTTAAAGAATATCCCGCATACTTGTCCCTAAATGGCTACTGTATGCCGAAGGGGGTTAGTTGTATATGGTTTCTAATACATGTAGATATTTTTGGCATAATACATGTAGTATTCTGCACAATACAAATTGTGCTGACGTACACAATCATGTCAAAATACTATGGTATACTAATGTCAATCTTATCCAACTTTAAGCTACTTTACTATGTATTACCTAAATAACTTCAGCAACTGAGGAAAAAATTGATATTAATAGATCAGGGGTGACAGACCACTAAACAATAGCTGGGGTTCGCGCGGAAAAGTACGACAGATGCAGAACTTGCCATTTCAATGGCATTTAGCTTTAAAAAACTAAATACTGTACTGTATGATAGTGAACATGAAACGCAGATAGAGACACGGATTGGGGTCTCTACAGGCAGAAAAAAACGATCAAAGTGTCTATTGACACTTGAGATTACGATGGGGATCTCTACTGGTAAAGTTGCCGATTCTACCAAATCGGTGTTCCCACAAAGCTTACCTTTAATCATATGTATAAGAAAGTGATTCCGTCTTACCCTTTAATCATAGACCAGTCCAGAAGAGGTACTGATGCAAGGTATTTTCAGTTGGTTGTTGTCTTGTCAGGACGTTGTGAGGGTCTTTATATCTTGTACGTACGTTACTGTGCTGACAGGCTAGTGGAGTTCTGTCGCAGTGGAGTGCGAAAAAACAAACCTCAAAATTAGTCTGGTTTAAGTTATTGATTATTCATGTGAACTATGCCTTTTAAACATGAAAAAAATGTCCATTGAATATGAAAAATAGGCAGGTTGTTCTCTCTCTTTTTCTAGCGCTCGGAGGTTTCTCAATAGAATATTTTAATCAACGACCTCAAGGACAAAATGTTGTGGCCTTCTGTCATTGCAATGATTTTGTTTGTCTTTAGCATAATGTTGTTTTCGTTTTTAGTTTTTTGGATGTGTGTGGGGATTTATAACTTTGGATGACCTGGATGGATTGTTTGATGTTTATGATTAAAGGTATAGGGTGGGTACAATGTAGTATATAGCCATAATCGTTGATGGCATTGTAATATTGCCCGAAGGTGTCATACACCGTTAGTGTGTATTTTATTTGAAATATAAAAGACTGTACAAATGTTCTTTTTATTTTGGTCCGTACGTAGCATTAAATAAATAAAGTTTTTCCTCGTGTTTTTCTTCTACTATTTCTTTAAATGTAATCGATATCTTTGGGGGGTGGAAATGACTTGGAATTTGGTATAAACGCATAGTGGACCAATATCCCTAGACTTTTTTATACAGTCTCTAGGGAATGTGTTTTTTTTTTTAAATCTTTTTTTTACCATTTTCCGACAAAATCTGTATAATTAGGGTTCTGAAGACCTGGTCTTACACCCAAATGGTGTAAAATTCGGTAGGGTTGTTCATAGATACTAACCTTTCCACTTCTTGCGGACCAAGAGGTGGTGCCCATTTCTATTTCTGTAGGCCTTGTTCCACACAGCTGTGCACGCACTACAGCAGGGGGCTATTCCGCTGACAGTGTTGTGTTTCACCTTCCCATACTTCTTCTCTATAATGCTTTAGTCACAATTCT